CACAAAACAACCCCACCCCCCCCCCCCCAACCAACCCCAAAAAAAACAATCAAACCACTAAAATATACAATAAACCATAATCATAATTGAATCTCACAACAAAAAACACTTAAAATCTTTAATCGACACGATGTTACCATGAAAAACCTAATTTACACTAAACCATGAATTTCAACCCATCAACTAACCCTAATCATCCTAAATTACCATCTAATTATTAAAATTAGTTTTTAAAATATGAAATTTGTGCTCACCTTTTTCGCGGCGCCAAAGACAATGAAATAACACTAATAACCTCTTCGGCCGCAATGTAGATGGAAGATATTCATTTAGATAATCTACAATTTGGGGATGATCACGCTCTCACGCTCAAGGGCAAGAGAGGGAAATAAGAGAATGAGGGGTTTTTTTTTTGGATTTTCTACATAAATCCTTCGCGTCTTTCCCGCTAACTCCAACCACGTTGGAGTCACGTGAGCATCACGTGAGCCGTCACATGAGAAAAATTACCGTAAAATTGGATCCGGCCAAACTTAAGGCACATTTGTTGCCGGAGGAAAAAAATACACCAATATGTCGCCGGAAAAAAATTATATGCCAAACTGTCACTAAGAGTAAACAAAATATACCAATTTAGTATTTTTGCCTAACCCGCAATGGTGTTTTATAGCACACTATACGTACATATAATCTCTGAGTAAGTGTAGCATGTCTTGATAGAGCTCCCTTGACATCGTACGGAGCCCTACTGGCTGTAAAAAATAGTGAACATCTGCTCAAACTCACATTCAACTGAATACAGGAACTGCGAACAGCAACAAAAAATTGCTACACAACTTACATTCTCTTACGTCAAAGTATCAGTCAATGTCAACACTCAAACTTATCTCTTGTCGAGTTACTTCATTTCTGAATCTATACAAGCAGGCAACTCTGAGCGGTTCCTTCTTTTTTTTTAAAAATCTTACTTCCCTCTTGTCCATGGCTGGGCTAACCCTTTTCAGCATAATCTTCGCCTCCCTCGCTGGACCAAGGATTACTTGCACAAACGAGCTATAAAGATTTACGTGATAAATTTGAACATGCTGATGATTTGGAGGGTATATCAAACTAACAGTTCCACCTTCAACATAAATTAAGCTTACAAATTGCAAAAGCGAGACAGTGATCATACTCAAAACTCATGTAGGAATTCATATGTGAACTTAAGGACGTGCATGAATTCCAATCGTTTTCATCAAAATCAGCTGATTTTAACATTCATATGAACTCAAAACATCAAAGGCATGCATTTTCATCAAAACATCAGCCAATTTCAACACCCAGCCCCATCAGCTATAAGAATGGTTAAATGCTATCATGTTTTCCCTCTTCGATCTCAAATTAGGACACAAACAGGCAAGCGTGCATGTAAGCTCTCATCGACTTCTAGCACAAACTGCTTGCCCTTAAGCTTGCTTGCTCAACGAGCATTCTCAGAAGGCAGAACCCTTCTTTCTTCCTCTCCATTCAACCTTCCGGCTTCATCGCTTGAAAAACAAATCCCCTCACTTCCCGACAACACAAAAACCCAACTAACGACACATAAAAGCTCGCCACTGCACTAATCCAAAAAGCCCCAATCGATACCAATCCCTCTTCATCTCCACCATCACCATCATCAACCCCTCCCTCCCCCCTCTCACCTCTCTGTGTCCCCTCACACTCATCACCATTATACTCCGCACACAATCCTGGATTTCCTGCAAAAGCACCGGGAAATCTATGCAATCCTTCCTCTCTCTTTGGTACTGGACCTGATAAGCAGTTGTACGAAAGATTCAACGCCTCTAAACCCTTCATTGCTGAGATTCCATTAGGTAACTCCCCAGAGAGTGAATTGTGAGACAAGTCGAGTTTCCTTAGTCTTCCCATTTTGTCGATATTTGTCGGGATTTTACCGGATAAATAGTTGTATGATAGGTTTAAATACTCCAATCCTTTTAGGCTGATGAGCCCAATGGGTATCTCTCCATGAAGAGAATTGTGTGATAAGTCGATCCCAACGGGTGAGAGAAGGTCGTACCCAAACTCCAATTGCTTGCTACCCAAAAGATCCATCGAAACCCAAACCCTAATCTCAGGGGCAATCTGCGCAACTTCATTTTCTCCATCATTGGGATCAAAGCTCATGTTGAAGTCAGCATTGGGTATATAACCCGAGAAATGATTGTTTGAAAGATCAAGTGATTGAAGGTCTTGAAACGAAAAGATCCAATCTGGGAGATCACCGGAGAATCTATTTCCGGCAAGAGATAGCAGGCGGAGATTTTCCCATTTGAGAATTGCACCATTGAGCTCACCGCCAAATTCATTTGAGCCCAAATCGACGATTTCTAAAGATTTGCATCCAGCTAAAGGCAACGGAATCTCGCCAGTGATCCTATTACTAGCAACATTTAGAATCTTCAAGCTATCAAGAGCATCAAGCTCAGGTCTAAGAGTACCAGAGAGATTATTATGATCCAATTTCAGTTGCCATAACTGAAAACAACCAGCGAGACTTACAGGGATCGGACCAGAGAGAGAATTATAAGACAAATCGAGAGCTTGAAGGTAAGTTACGTTACCAATTGAAGCAGGAATTTGTCCTGTTAACTGATTGTTTGAGAGGAATAACCCTTGCAAGCTCCTCAATTCTGCAATCTCAGCTGGAATCTCACTAGAGAGATAATTTGATGACAGATCCAGAAGAAGAAGCCCCGATTTACTCGAATCATCCACTATTCTCCTTGGGATTGGACCGGAGAGCGAATTTGAGCTCAGATCAAGAACTATAAGCTTATCAGAAAATATCAATCTTGGAGAAATCCGATAAGATAAACCATTAGATGAAAGATTCAGCACTGTTAAAGATCTCAACGACGAAATGCAAGTAGGAATCCCTCCAACGATCGAATTTCTTGCCAGATTCAGAACCTTTAAAGACTGTGCCAACGATGAGAAGCACGGAAGAGTTCCAGAGAGCTGATTCGATTCGAGATTGAGAGAAATCAGGGGCTGGTTGAAGTCGTTCAGAGTTCCGTTCAAGAAATTATTCGAGAGATCAACGTCCTTCAACGATTGGAGATAAAATAATCCACTAGGAACCTCGCCTTGGAACGAACAAGAACTCAGATCGATTTTACCTAAATTCGACGAAAAATTCCCGACCCAATCAGGAATCAGACCGCCGATCCCGTTTCCTCCAATCGACAACACCTCCAATTTCCTCAAATTTGACAGCTCGAAAGGTAAAGGTCCTTCGATGGAGTTCTTACCAAGATCTAGGGTTTTTAGACCTCCAAAATCACCAAAACAAGACGGAATCTTACCAGAAAAGTTATTATCCGACAAAACTAGGGTTTCGAGGGCAGAGAGATTGCACAGAAACGGGCTAACGGGTCCAGAAAGATCCGATCCGGCGAGGCTCAAGGCGACGACGCGTCCGGTGGCGGCGTCGCAGGCGACGCCGGTGAAGTTACCGCAATCGGATCCGGTCCACGTCAGAAGGATGGAACTCGGATCGGCGAGATGAGATTTGAAGGCGAGAAGAGAATCTCTGTCGCTGACGTCGATGCTGAGGTCTGCGCGTGAGATCGTGAAGAGGAGGAGGAGGAGGAGGAGGAGGATGAAGGGGGCCATGGGATTAGGGTTAGGGTTAGGGTTTAGGGTTTAGGGTTTTGAGGAGAATTAGTGCGGATTTTCAGAAGAAAGACATTCTCTGTTGAAGAGACGGCAGAGTGAGAGAGAGGATAATGAATTTTTTTTTTTTAAGAAAAAGGCGGGGATTTTAATAGAGAATTTTAAAAAGCGAAAGGAAAAATGGTGAGTCACGTGAGCGTGGAGGGGAGGAGATATAGCGGAGTACGGACGCGGACTTGAGAGGGAAAGCTGAAGTGGATTGGATTAAGTACTGAGACGAGTTCCTCGGAGGCCCATAAGGCCCAGATGGTAGACCGAAGTGTCTTTATCTCGAGCCCACTACAAATTATCGTATTTATTTATTTAATAGCTGGGCATCACAAGGAACCAAAAGGCAAAAAAACAAAAAAAAAATCCCCCAAACAGCATTAATTACAATTTCCATATAGATGAATGAAACTACACAAGAATGTGCTTTTGGAAGTGAAAGATGGGGTTCACGCACCTGGAGAGATTTTCTGGAAGGCAAAA